ACTTTGTTGAGATCCGTGAAATCAACATATGTTCACCATTTGCTGTTGGGTTTCTTCACCAAAACAAGATTGCCGACCCAACTCGGGTAATGAGCCTCTCGAATGAACCCGATTGAGAGGAGCTTATCCACCTCAACCATAAGAGCAGCATAACACTCTAGGTTCATGACTCTTCTTTTCTGGCGAACTAGTTTGACCTCACTGTCGATGTTGAGTGTATGACATATTACATTTGGGCTAATCTCGATCACGTTAGCATGAGTCTATACAAAAACATCTATATTCTATTTGAGGAAGCTCGTTAGATTGGTAGCGAGCTGAGTGCTGAGATTACTTCCGATTCTTAATACATGAGTCGGATCATTCTGGTCAACTGATACCTCAAATAGAGTCTTAACAGGTCCACTGTGGGAATACTCCCCCTGAACACGAGGATCTATGCTGTCTTCCACTGGATCTAGCTGTGGTTCGATCCTGCTGATCGTCATAGCCTGCTCAAGAACGCCCACTAGCCTCCCTTTCCTTTTGCATGTCATATGCACTGCTCTTACATAGTAGTCGCAAGATTCACGCTGAGACCCTTTGACCTCCCTACACCCCATTAGAGTGAGAAATTTCATCTTCAGATGATAGATGGAGGTGACAGCTTTGAAGTTCTGGAGTAGAGGTCGTCCCAATATGCCATTGAAAGTGGACAGACATTCTACCACTAAAAATTCTGTCATCTTAGTCACTTTTTGGGTCTTAACCAAAGTGATAGAAAGTGTAATCGTTCCCTTGGGAATCAGACGATCCCCTGTAAAGCCATAAAGAGGGATAGAGGCAGGCTTCAGATCTACCTCTTCTAATTGCATTTCCTCAAATGCTCATTGCAATAGGATGTTCACGGTGCTCCCATTATCCACCAATATTCTGTAAACTTTGCACCGACCTATTTTAGCCGCGATGTTGAGTGCATCCTCATGAGGGTGAAGCAATCGTACCGCATCTTTCTCTGAGAAAGTAATCTTCTCCTCTCTACACACCTTAGCAGGTCGTTACGCCGTGTTTAACACACTCATAGGGTCATGGTAAGCTTCTTGAGCGTACTTTTCCTGAGCACCTTGAGAATTCTCCGCAAGGTGTGACCCTCCAAATATAATTTCGATGAAATGAAGGCTTTTACGACCACGACACTTCTTCCCATCGTCCTCTTGATCCTTCTCCCGAATGGGAGTTGGACCATCAACATATTCCCTAAAGTGCCCCTTTTTAAAGAGGTCTTCAATAGCTTGCTTAAGAGCTTGACATTCATCAGTATGGTGCCTATTGTCCCAATGATAACAATAATATTTCTTGTTGTTTCTCATTGAAGAGGGATTTTTTATGGGCTCTGGCTCTCCGAGCGGATTAGCTTCTTCTAATTTATCCATAATAGTTGTTACCGATGCGTTCAATGGAGTATACTGATTCTTGTAACGAAGGAATTGGGCATAAGATTTCTTGGGCTTGAACTGCTATTTCTTTCCCTTTCTATGATTGTCATTAGCCCATTGGTGATCAGGCCTTCTAAGACTCTCTTCCTGATTTTCCTCCCTCTGACTAGGAGCATTGGTCGAAGGACCGAGGTCGTGACAATTCAAAGTAGCCACTGAATTTTCAATTCTAAGATATTTCTCAATGAGATTGTAGAAGCGGGCGAGGGAAATATCATTCTTGGATTGTAGTTTCTTCCACAGGTCGGTTTGTGGGCGAACTCCCCCAATAATAAGAGTTCGAACTGAATCTTCGGGTGTATTAGCCGCCTTATTCAGCTGCCTGTGGAACCTGTTGATATAGGATTGGAGGGATCCATTCCTCTCCTGTCATATGTTGCTCAGATAGTTCAACGACATTGAAAACTTCCTATTAGCCTAGAAGTGTCTCAAAAACAATAAACTTATCTGCTGCCATGAGTTGATAGATTCTAACGGAAGTGATCTAAACCAACGCTTAGCATGGGCAGTCAGAGTCACTACTAAGCAATGACATTTCGCTAAGTTGGAAACTTGGTGAAGCTCTATGAGGTCGTTAAACTCATAGAGATGATCCTGTGGATCAGAATTCCTATCGAATGCTTGCATATCAGGCATTCTAAATCTTAATGGGAGAGGAGCAGTCAAAACTGCTAGAGAAAAAAGAGACGCCTCAGTGACTGACCCTCGCTTATTCTGTTGAGTTCTAAGTTGATCCAGAGCTCACTGTAACTCCTATATTTGAGGAAGCAGAGCCACCTAGGGATCACTTTCTACAATGTGGGTTTGCTCATCACGATTGCAATTAAGGAAAGACTGTAGATCAAACTCTTCCTCGCCTTGGCCAAAGCCTTCGAAATACCTTGACACATGTTGACTAGAGTCATGTGAAGGCACTGAATGGCTGGGGGAGTTATCCCGACCTCCGCGGTGGTCAGAACTAACCCTCATTCGGTGGCTATTTCCTTCGTGGTGATGGTCGGAACCATCATTCTAGCAATAATGGGAATCTCCATGCCGTGCACTTTTGTGGGAGTGCCAATGCGATGTGATGTGAGACGGCTCATGATGTGACATACCGTCAAGTCACAAAGCCAAATGTATTCTACCTGCCTCACGACCGATATTCACTGGCCCTTTCGAGCCTTTGGCCCATTGTCAGCCACCTACTTTCCCTTATTTTTACGTGCTGTAGTGCGTGTGGTATGAGCTTTCGCACGTTTCCACACTTTAGCGTGACCTATAAGCATTTTTGAAGATGGTACCGCCTTGTCAGAATTGGGCGGTACGACCTGATCCAAACAATCTAACCTTTAGTTAACCGTTTGGAAAATATTATTAATTAAACCTTTCCAGGTAATTCATTACAGTTGGATCGAGCTAAGAGGTCAAGGGGATGTTCGCCGTGGTACCTTGAGGAATTGGAGGTACTTTGGGAGAATGAAGATCCTATACCCTGGGGATCTCCTCGTTGTTGACGCTAGTTTGCTCGGTTTCAAGACCACGAACCATTTGCTCACAAGTAGAACTAATTGATCAGAGATTCTAAATGAAGAGCAGATATAAAACCAGGCCCTCCTTCTAGCGTCAAATTGTTGATGTGTGATTTTGACACCAACAACTTACATGTGCAAAGTGCTAAGTTGTTCTTAGAAATTACATGTGAACTATTATAATCAGATATAAAGATTGAATAATAAATAAAAGATACGAATCTTAAAGTGGTTCGGATGCTTAAAGTGAATCATACGTCCTCTATTTCTTTTATATATGAGAGATTACAAGAGGTTGCGTAAAGCAAACAGCGAATAGAGGTACAATAACTGATTATTTAGAGAGAATATCAAGTCAGTCTCTTTCTCGTAGGTTATCTTTGCTCTGAAAATAAAGATTACAATCAGAATGAGGGTTTAGTCTCAGAATCCCGACAATGAGAGGGGGAGTCCTCTATTAATAGTAGAGGAATTCAAAGTAATGATTACAAATATGCAAGTGGGTAGGTGTCGTGCAAGTCCTTCCTTGTCTCCCATTGGCTAATAACTTAGGAAATATCCTCGAATTATCTAGGGCTTAGACATGTGTGCAGTCCTCAGTCACTCATAGACAAAACCTGATTTCTATTAAGTTGACGACAACCATATTTTTTCTGTCATGGAGCAACGTGGCAGCTCCTAGATGGCACAAAGTCTTCCTAAACTCTAATTGGTGCTTATTGACGTAAGCTAACGTCAGCCCTCTTTTTTAGGCATTACAAAGTAGTTTTAATTTTTCTATATAATTAATGGTTAATTATTTGATGATTAGATAATATAAATGAAATATAATTAACAAACCAAATAGTCGGTTGAAAAGGCCTATATATATATATATATATATATGTTTTTTTTTTTTAATTCCAAAATAAATAAAGAAATATATGTGTTGTGTCTAATTTTTTGGCGGTCAGTTTGTGCCACACATCCTTAAAATATATAAAAGCTTGGCGGCCAGGATCATCCCATGTGTCATCCTATCAACACTTACCTTCTCTCACAAGGTAATTAATATCATAAACATGGGTCAGGCTGCTAGCATGGCCTGGTCTGTCACAAGCATGAAGATTATTGACTCAGATCCTGATTAAGGGGATTATGTGTGCAAACAATCCCGTTATACCCACTCTCAAGTCTTAACCACTGTTAGAAGAACCAAGTATAAAAGGAGCCCATAGCAACATAGCCTCCGTTTCAAGGGACAATTCTAGTTTTAGTAAAGCTCAAGAGGAAAATACACTTGTCTGTAGGGGCGGATCCAGAGTGTGTTAAGGGTGGGCCATGAATTTAAAAAAAAAAAAAATTAAATATGTTATTCTATTTGGTTTGACTTTGGCCCACCCTTAATTTTTATTTTCAAATATTAAAAAATGTGGCACACTCTCAATTTTAGTACTAAAAGTCTTGGCCCACTCTCCATTTTAATACTAAAAAACTTGGCCCACTGCCCATCTTCATTTTTTTAATAAAACTTGTAAGAGTAGAACCTTCCCCTGCAGTTACAATTTGCAAACCCTCAGACTGGTAGTCGCTCACGTCTTCCATAACTCCTCTGCTGCTCTCCCTAAATCTGCATAGTTTTTCGACTTCAACAAAATTCTATTAGCTATTTTCTCTCTGGTTAGTACCTTTGTGTATAATGCTTTTCTTTTATTTGTGTGTATTAGCATAATAGCATTGTGCATTGAATTTTTTATTGAGAAAACTTTTAGGAAAAAGGGGGAAGTTTTTAGATTCCAATATTTTGTGATAGGTAAATGATTGTTTTGTGGTCCCAAAATTTGTAAGAAAAATAATATATAGATAATAGAAATAGAAATATAGATAGAATCAATGAGGCTTTTATTTTTATGAATTGTTTAAGTCTTTAAGACTTTAAGTTGATGATTGAAAAACTTGAAGTTGGAAAATTTAGAATTTCTATAGTTATTATAGAATTCAATTCGTGAGTTAATTTATTTCTTTGTATTTAGATATGGAAAAATATTTTAAAAGAAAGTTAATTGCTAAGACATCTCAACTTTGTTTTGGTGTCAATGATAATGAAAACCAGCCTTCTTCAAAGAAAAATTGCTTCGAAGTTGACTTGGAAAATCTTCCTTTTGATCCTGGATTTCGACCAAGAATTACATTTTATCATCCTAATGTTCGAGACCAACTTAGAATGCGTTATCTACAAAAGGGTCCTTGTCAACCTCGCAACCATAAGTTTCCCAAATCAAAATATGGTGATCATGAAAGAAGTTTCCAACGTTCTTGGTTTGACAAATATCCTTACTGGTTGGAATATAGTGTTGAGAATGATGTTGCATATTGTTTATGTTGTTATCTTTTCAAACTAGATAAAGGTGAGCAAAGTGGCGATGATTCTTTTTTCTTAATGGGTTTCGTAATTGGAAGAGACTTGAAAATTTTAAATATCATATTAGAGGTCCTAACAACTATCATAACTAAGCTTTGAAAAATTGTCAAGCTTTGATGAACCAAAAGTAGCATGTGAGTACAATTATTAATAAGAAATCTGACCAATAGCGAGAAGATTATCGTATTCGGTTGAAAGGATCAATTTCTGCTAGTCGGCTTCTTCTTCGGCAAGGATTGCCTTTTCATGGTCATGATGAGTCTGATAATTCAATGAATTGGGGAAACTTTCTTGAACTTTTACACTATACAACTGAGCAAAATGAAGAATATAGATTAGTAGCATTGGAGAATGCTCCTGGACATGATAAATTGATTACTCCTAGTATCCAAAAAGACATAATCAATGCATTTGCAGTTGTTGAAACCATCAACAAACTAATTAGTGATCTAAGAGATGCTTTGTTTTCTATATTAGTTGATGAAGCTCGTGATGGATCCAACAAAGAGCAGATGACAATTATCTTACGTTATGTAAATAAAAAAGGATGTGTTGTTGAGTGTCTATTGAGCATTATGCATGTCATGGATACGACTGCTTTGTCACTATAGATGGGAATCGAAATATTGTTCTCTAAATACAATTTGAGCATATCAAGATTACGTGGACAAGGTTATGATTGTGCGAGTAATATGAGAGGTCAGTTTAATGGGTTAAAAGCACTTATATTGAAAAATAATGAATATGCCTTCTATGTTCATTATTTTGCTCACCAACTTCAATTGGCACTTGTAGCTGTGGCAAAAAAGGATACAAATATTGAGAGAATTTTTTTTAAAGTTTCTTGTGTGATAAATATTGTTGGATGGTCACCTAGACGTAGGGATCTTCTTAATGAGAAACAAGCTTTGAAGGTGAAAAAAGCTATTTAAAGTGGTGAGCTTTCAACAGGCAAGGCCTTAATCAAGATACTAGTCTTAAACGGCCAGGAGAAACACGGTGGGGTTCACATTATGATACTTTATTGAGCTTGATTAATTTGTTTTCATCTGTTATTGAAGTGCTTGAGGATCTTACTGAAAATTCTGATAATAGAGTTGAAGCAAGTGATTTGGCGGAATATATGACTTCTTTTGATTTTTCTTTTAACTTGCACATGATGAAAAAAATTTTGGGAATCACATTTGAACTTTCACAAGCATTGCAAAGGAAGGATCAAGATATTATAAATGTTATGTCTTTGGTTCACTTGTCGAAAAGAAGATTATTGTTGATCAGAAATAATGGATGGGATAATCTACTTGATGAAGTTTCTCATTTTTGCATTGCTCATAATATAAAGGTGCCAAATATGGAAGAGAAATTTGTTGCACGAGGGAGATCACNGTTATTCATGTGGAGGGCTTTACATATCATCTGTGAGCATATCTAAATTCTTTCACCACTGAGTTCTATTAAGCTTTTTCTGACGCAGCGCGTTAACATGATAAACAAAGTTAGCACATAACTACATTTTAGAACTGATAACACATGTCTCAATCTAGAAACTTAAACCGTAAAATCTGAAATAAAAATTGAATAATTCATTGAATGATCTCCAAAACGAAATATAAGTTTATATATGGTGACAATCAACCCTAATAAGACTCCTAATAACAAAAGGAAACAAAAATTGAATTAATTAAAACAAGAAAACCCAAAATAAAATAGAAAAAAAATGCTCAAATAACTAAAACAGTCTCGAAACATGCCAAAATGGTGGATTTTGACTCCGAAAACGACCTCCAGTTGGCTAAAAGCCGGTTGTAACGTCGACAGGCTTGAAATAAACTTTCTAACGGTATCTTAGTAACTCTTTCCAGATAAAAAGTTATGACCATTTGAATAGGATATACTCATTTAGAACCTTTAAACTTTATGTATGAACTTCTGACGTTCAGCTGACTCTATGAATTTATCCACCACACCTTCTACGTCATTTTTTAGGATATATCTTTATATATAATTAAAGAAGTGTGAATCCTGGAAAGGAAGGTGGAGATACGTAATCGAAAACTTACTGTATGCATTTTGTTTATGAAAATGACAGTACTCCATTTAAGACGCAACAGTCATCAAGTAAATGGAGCAAGCAATAGCAAAGCATGTGGTTCTCATCAGACAATCAGTGAGAGGTGACATTAATGCTGTAATTGCAAATATGATAAGTATGAAAATCGAGAGGATCTCACAGTTTCCTGATAATTAATAAAGCACAACTGATAGTAAATTATTGGTTCAGTTTAGACAAAATAGATATGAGCCCACTTAATAATTCCTTATTAAATATAATTAATTATTGATTTTTCTAATTAATATGCGTCCTTAATGATAAACAATTATTGCAAACTTGTCATGATATTTATCTTGAAGTACATGTTAATACAGCTCTGTGTATTCCCAGTGGATATATAATTAAAAGAGACCAAAGCTATAAATCGGATGCCTATGGCTCAGTTATGCTGCACAAGAGTTACTCTTTNGAAAGAAGGTCACAAGAGCTAAATGTCTTCCATTTAGTTCATGCACACTTCCCTTGTAACTTCTCTTTGTCCTGTAGCATCTCTAAGCAACAACATAACAGTGGATATAGCTTGGTCTTTATACCGCTAAACCACTATAAAAAAACTCTTTTGTTCTTTATTTTTTAATGTCGTTTTTATCGCCCTTGTTGGTTACCAATAACCATGTGCACGGCCCTTTCTGAGGTTGACTAGGTATCTTTGGTTTGTATGAAATTCACATCTGCAATATAAAAGCAGGATAAAATAATGCTAAATGAATCAAAATTATAGTTTCCCAGTAGTACATGTGTAAGCTTTGCGTATCTTATAAGCCTAAGAAATCGATTGAAAGACACATTGCAGAAACAAAATGTGGGGTCTCTTGTCATTGTTTGTCATTAATTGTTTTATATATATATGCTAAGCTACCAAGGAATTCGTTAATAAATTTAGGGAATTTAAAAGGCTAATAATCGTCATGCTGAGATTCGGAGATTTGATATCTTGATTAGGTGTTGAATTAGACAATATACACCTAAACCTTATTATATAATGCTCTATGGCCTAGCTATTTGAGGAAAAAAAAAAAAACAGATAGAATATACAGTAGTTTCCTACTTCCCTTCATTAAGTTCAATGGAGTGGAAATTAAAGATTTCAATTCTTCTTTATTTCTCATTATTGCACATGCATCTTGTTTGATGAATTAATTTATGAGTTAACGACATGTTCCCACCCAAAAAAGGGTCCATTGACACTTTCCCACCTTAGACTTTTAAAATACTCTTTACTACCCAAATAATATGTTTCCCTCTGTTTGGGTGGGAAATATAGTGATTTACGAAAGAACCCCTCTTCTTAGCCTCTTTCATTGCTTCTCTTCTTAGCCTCTTCCATTGTCAACAATTGCCGCCAAAATACTAAAACAAAGATTCATCAATTGTATTTCAACCCAAAAAACATAAAAATTGAACGAATCAAACCCAATTAAAACTCGAAAAACCTTAGGGTGGGGAACCTTCAATCGCCGATGATTGGTGAGCGAACGAGATTGGGAATGTTAGGGCTTTTAGAGATGAAGATCTAGGTAGTTGATTGGTGGTGGCAATAATCGGCTTGGAAGTTGAAAGGTCGTGCGGCAATGAGCAAGGGACGATGATGGAGGTAAGGGTTTTGTAGAGTGGATTGTGGGGAGTGTGATGGTGGTGTCTAGGAGAATTTATGGCAAAGAAATCGACTGGAAATCCGGCTTGAAGAGTTGGCCGTCCCTTTTTCTTTTCTTCTTCTTCGGCTGCCCATGTTTGTTGACCATTTTGCCCTCATTAATAATGGACTTTTGACCATTTTACCCTTCCTCACAATGAAAACTACTAACAAAATTATGCTTTGGGTACTAAAAGGGTATTTAAAAAGTGGGTGGTTTGTCAATGAGTCATTTTTTGGGTGGGAAAATGTCGTTAACTCATTAATTTATTGTTAGGGAAAAAAGAAGTGGGATAAAGCTGCTTTACACTAAAATTCACCAATTTATAAAAGAATAATGTTAGCCTTACTCACTCTCCCTACTCACTTCTCTTATTCACTTTTGTTAAAATGTTAGCCTTATCCACTTTTTCCCCTTTTTTCTAACAAAAGTGAGTAAGAGAAGTGAGTAAGGCTAGCATTACTCTTTATAAAAATTATTTGCCAGAACATTCAAGATATGAGTGTTTAAGTTCTAAATGTAGCTTTATATGGTGGTTAGTAACTAGTAAAATTTAAAATACAATTTAAAACTTTACAAAAAAATTAAGAAAAAAGAATGTAGGTAAGTAAGTACAAGAAGATGAAGAGGAAGAGCTTTTCAGGTTACTAAATCTGACATCTGCAAGCAGCGAAAGCAAAAACAGAAACAAAAAGTAAGAAATTGAAAAGAAAAACAAAATAAATAAGGAAAATAAAATGCTGGAGATATGTGAAAAGAGAAAGAGAGAGGCGGTTACAAGAAGCGCTAACGGAGAGAGAGTGAAGGTTTAGAGAGTGCTGAGAGATGAAGCTACTTAGTAAGAAAGCAATGGAGGAGAGAGCAGAGAGGAGAGAGTAAAGCAAAGAGTAAAGAAGAAGACGGAGATGTAAAAGAAGAGACTAATTTGAATTTACTGAGAAAATTCACTGGTGTCGTTTGTCTTATAAGGGGCTGGAAGTTTGGGGAATTAACAAGAATGCCACTCACGTCTTCTTTTCTAGTTTAATTAACAAATAAACATTAAAAAATATTTACCTTCAAACATTATTAAACTAAAAGCTTCCATTATTTTTTATTAAATATAATAAATTTAGAGGTATTTAATAATTTTTTAAAATCATTTGACGTTTAAGACAGAATGACCTGTTTAAGATTATCGTAATTAACTTTTTCTAATATTTTATATTAATTGATTTTCTAATGTAATTTTAAAAGATTTTATAAATCTTTTAAAATATAAAAAATAATAATTATGTTTAGATGTTTGATTAAAATACATATGAAAATATATTTATAAATAATTTTTATATTATATAAAATGGTTTTTAACAATATTTGTGTAATCACTCTCTTAAGTGTTATTTCTTTTTTTATCTAGATACTTTAAATTATATTTATTTCCTGTTAATTGAAAGTGATGCTAATTTTTATTTAGTTATGGCACAATTTCTCAAGTTTAAAGTGGTTATGCATCTTATAAAGCAATGTGAAATTTAAATTCCATATACATCTTATAAAAGCGACGTGACCTCCATCAAATTGTTTTAGAATAACATTTTGTTTATAAAACAATGATCAAATCATATCATCGTAGTCAAGATCGCTTAACACTTGTGATGCAAAAAAGTCAAACTAATTTTGTGAAAAATCTTTGTTTATTATGTATTAGTGTTATTTTATTTTATTTTATGTGAAATGAAGTTAAGAGAATGTTAAATAATAAATGCATTGATTTCTATAAAAAAAAGTGAAAAAATATAAAATTCTACATATATTTTAAGGTATAAAGACTACTAATTAAAAACATTAAAAAAAATATAAGAATGGTATTTAAGAATAATCTTTATTGTTAAAAGAGGTTCTAGCATCGCTTGTTGCTCTCTCAAGCTACTTTTATTTATTGTGTAACTTCTAAAAGATGAGTTCCCTCTGAATTGTTTTTATAGTAGTATATATATGAATAATGACGGTTAAGTCACATCAATATGGTCTTATGTTTGATTTAGACAAAAGTAAGTTATTTATAATACTTATCATTGTCCAAATTTTTTTACTTGTAGGGGTTGATATTCGGTCATGTTAACAAAATTGGAAATATTTTTATTTTTTAATTGTTAGAGAAAACCATATTTTTTTAATAATTTTTTTTTTTTTTTACATGAAAGAGCAATTCCGAGATTTATGAAAATTTACTTATCAATAATACTAGATATACAAATAAATTTTACAAAAATTTATATATAAATTGATATGGTATAAAATAAATGAAACAGTAAATATAAAAAATTAAAGTTATCATATTTACTCTTTTATTTATTTTTGTACCATATCTGTTTATATATAAAACTGGGTAAAACTTATATGTAGCATTACCCTATACTTATAATGTTTTTCCAGTCTCCTTTAAAGTGCTTCCTAATTAAGTAAACTAAAATAGTAGTTAACTTTCCTGGCTGGGGGTAACTACGTAAAATACAAGGGACATGCTGCAGGGACTTTCTCGTAATTACGCAAGGCATTAGCGTTTGGGTAAGGTTATTCGAATTTCAAAAAAGCTAAAAAGGAGATTCTTAAAGATACAAAGCTACGTTATTGGCTAAAAAAGTAGCCGTTTTCGAAGACAACCAAGACTATTTTACCCCCACAAGATTCTCTCAATTCTCC